GATAGATACTTTAACAATAATAAAAAGAGGACAAGAAATTGGGAAGGAGTGGGGGACATGGAAGGAACTGGAGGGAGACTAGGAGGGTTGAGAATAATCCAAGCACAATGCTTATATATGAAATTCTCAAAAAGTTAAAAATACTTAAAAGGAAATGTAAGTAGTAAAGAGAATATTTAGTGAAAGGCAGAAAAAAATCAGTTGGGATGTGAGGGGTATAAGAGAAAGAGTAATAAGGGGTGAATTGAACAAAATACATTATATAAATGTAAAAAAATGTCATAATGAAGTACATCACTATGTATAACTACTGGATGACGATGACATTTATTGTTTTTACTTTATATGTATATATGTATTGCCTGTGTATAAATGCACCCCTGTCCTGCAATACCCTCAGAAGTCAGAAGAGGGTGTCAGATTCCCCTGGAACTGGAGTTATGGAGGCGTGTTATCCGCCATGTGGGTGCTGGGAATCAAACCTGGTCCCCTGCAAGTTAACTCCTGAACTCCACCAGTGACATTTTTAAAAATAGAGATGAAACCAGCCAATGCACATAGAGAAACAAATTATTAAAAAAAGAAAAGAAAAAAAAACAATTGAGGAGAAATGTGTATGTATAGGGGTGAGGTCAGAGATTCAGCAAGATAATGTGGAATGGAGGGGGAGAACAGGAGAGGGAGAAAAAGATGAGAGTGAGAGAGAGACACAGAGAGACAGAGAGAGAGCACGAGAAAATGTAGGAGTGCATAGAAAAGAACATGGACTGGGGCCATTTGGAGGGACAAGGTAGGGGAAAATAAACCTTAGTCACTTCGGGTCGCAGGGAGTGGAGGACTGGATGGTGACTCCCATACTTACTGTCTCTTTGTTTTTAGGAGCCTACAGAAAACCCTCCCTCTCAGCCCTACCAGCACCAGTGGTGAAATCCGGGGAGAATGTGACCCTGCAGTGTTTCTCAGAGATCCCGTTTGAGACCTTCATTGTGGTTCTGCACAGACAGGGAGTAAGAAAGGCCCATATGTATCTTTCTGGGAAGCATCACCATGGGCACTCACAGGGAAGCCTCTTCATAGGACCTATGACACCTGCCCATGCTGGGACCTACACGTGCTATGGTGCTGTCAGTAACCACTCATATGAGTGCTCAGACCCCAGTGACCCTGTGGACATCAAGATCACAGGTGAGTATCCATACCTGCCCCTCACCTTCTTTGTGGTGCAGATCAGATACACTAAGGTTTGAAAGCCCTGTGAGGTCGTGACAAAGGTAAGTGTGGAGAACCTATGGAGAGAGGCAGCCTTTGTGAGCATTTTACTGGCATTTTACTGAAAAGTGAGACATGAGTACAGACCATAACTCCAGGTTTGTGGCAGTGCAAAGGAGTCATAAGGAGAGATAAACAGAATATGGTAATATGGTGAGACTGACTGAATCAGAGAGAAAGGTCCTTCTCCTGATGATCAGAGATCTGGGGCAGTTGAGAATATTTGTTTCCATTTACCTCTATCAGAGGTCTAACAGAAGAACTAGACATATCATGCATCTGACCTGCATTTCAGGGCTGAGTTGGGCTGTTTCATGTTAGATCCCCATGGGTACTGAGGCCTTGGCACAGGTGGCGCATACAGACACTTCTTGTTTTCATGTGGTTGACTGATTATTCATCACAGAACACCATGGCCCTTAGTTAAGGAGCAGAACACCACTCCCTATGTGTTTTTGTTCTCTCCAAATTGACTTACTAGGCTGTGTTTCAAAGTTATTCAGATTTATAGGATGAATGAGGAAATAAATGTCAAAGATTCAGAGGAGAGGAACTGAAAGACTCAGAGAAAGAAAGTATAATGTATGAAATCTGTAGGAAGGAAATAACACTGGAAATCAAAGATCCAAATGGAAGATTTGAAGGCGCAGAAGAGAGATAATGATAGATGGTAGAGGTTTGGAAAGAGAGGTAGGGAGGCAAAAAAGTGTGCTCATGTGTGGTCACCACCAGCGGCAGCCACTCCTCCATTCTTGTGTGGGTGCCGCTCCTTCATTCACGGGCATCGAGGCTGCTCCTCTGCTGGACTGCAGAAGAGAGATAATGATAGATGGTAGAGGTTTGGAAAGAGAGGGAGGGAGGCAAAAGAGTGTGCTCATGTGTGCTCACCACCAGCAGCATCCGCTCCTCCGTTCTTGTGGGTGCCGCTCCTTCATTCACGGGCATCGAGGCTGCTCCTCTGCTGGACCTGGGCTGAGGCTGCTCTTCTGCTCACCTGGTGCTGAGGCCACTCTTCTGCTTGCCTGGTGCTGAGGCAGCTGTTCTGCTTGCCCTGTGCTGCCTCCTGTAGTCGCTGCTTCTGCCTGGTCCTGGACCCCAGGGCCAGTGAGGAGACTGTGTCAGCCTAGCCACATTGAGACACAGGAGACCTGGTTCAGTGACACAGGTCTGATTTATTGCAGGAAGGCACAAGCTTATATAGGGATAGTGGTCCAATCACAGCAGAGCTGTGGGGCCGCTCCCTCTCCTCGTGGGTCGTTGGCCACCGGTCTACAAGGACAAAGGGAGCAGAAGTGACGAGCAGGGTCAGGATGGCCAGTGAGCACTGACGGAAGAAAGCCCTTCCGGGGAGGCAGGTTCAATGATGCAAACAGCTCCAGATTCAGTGAAACAGCTCCAGACTTAGTGAAACAGCTCCAGATTCAGTGAAACAGCTCCGTTTATAGCCAATGCCTCAACAGATAGGTGCTCATGGTATGCTTTATTTACATGTGGCAGTAGGCTCCTATTGTCCGACTACCAGGCAAAGCCTGATTGTCATATAGAAAAAACCTGGGGGTAGTTTTTTCTCCAGGTGACTATGCCAAAGGTCATGTTCCAAATAAGGTCAGGCATCCGTGCTTGGTGCCACTTTCCAGGTAAGTCAGGAAGAGAGCAGGAGGCCCCCTGCTGAGAAGGGGAGTCCTTCCATATGGCACTGAGCTCCTTAGAGCTATCCGAACATGGAGGACTACAACCCTAGCAGCAGAGTTCCCCAACACACAGCAAGTAGGATGCCTTATTAGCTTAACAGGTCTAGCATCCTATCACAGTACAGCAAGTAGGATACCTTATTAGCATAACAGACAGCATCCTATTAGCATAACAGACTTATCCGATCACAGAATAGCAGGTAGGATGCCTCATTAGCATACTGGGTTTCAGATTACAGAGCCTGGATTCCTGGAAACCACATGACCCTGACAGTTGCAATATTGCCCTAGGCTCAAGCCAGTCTCCCACACTCATGGAGGTCTATAATGCAGATAGATGATAGAGAGAGAAAGATAGATAGATAGATGATAGATAGATGATAGGTGATAGATAGATGAGAGTAGATAATTGATAGATAGATAGATAGATAGATAGATAGATAGATAGATAGATAGAAGATAGATGATGATAGATGATAGACTTAATTTTTCAGTGCTAATGAACTGTACATATATAAAGGCTTTGAAATAGATACAGTCTCTGTATTTCACAGATGGCCAGTGCTTAAATAAAAAGATAAACAACATATTACTACTGTTTGGAGAACTACAGTGATATTAAATATTGAGAACTTGTGTATGATTTGGAAAAGCTGAAAAGTCAGTCACGAGACAGTCACACAATATAATCTGCTTTGTAGCACCAAAAATCTTCATCTTACTGCCTTAAATGTCTAGCCTTGATAACAGTGACTAACATTCTATCAACTACTAGATTTTTAAAAACACAAATACATTTTAAAATGTACATTTTCCATTTCACAATGGTGACCACCTGATTCCAAACAAATCCTTCTACTCACTAAAACCAAGTAAAACATAAAACA